GCTGCGGGGAGGGAAGATCTTTTGCTGTGCTGTCACCCCGGTCCCCGCTTTTACGGCCGCCCGTCGTCACCCACGGTTGGACTGTGAGATGTTGAATTTCCTCCGCTGGCCACGCTCGCCGTGGGCCGAGAAAGGGGACAGCAGTGTCCACCTCTCACCGTCTGCCCGGGGAAGACTGCGGTCCTGGTTTGAGGCGGCTCTGGAGATCAGCCCCGCTCTGCTGCCCTGGAGCTGCCCCTCCCGGAGGGGAGGTTGGGGGTCTCGGCCCGTCCTGCTGCTGGAGGACGAGGGCTACTCACCTTCCTCCTCCTCCTAATGGCCGCTGTGCTGCGGTGGGGCTGGCGCTTGCCTGCAGGGGAGGGAGGGAAGGGTCACCCTCGCCCCAAGCCTTGCTGCATTTAAGATGCAGCTGGAAGAGAAAAAGCAGACTTATTGTTCTCCATCGTCTTTATTTACACGGTTTAAAAGGCTGCGGGAAGCGCTGCAGTTTGTCCCAGTCCTGCAGGAGCCTCTCCTCTCGCCTTCACCCACTGCCTTCCCCAAAATGAGCCCCCTCAGCTCCAGCTGAGGTTAAACCATGTCACCAGCGGCCGGGGAGGAGGGGGAGATGTGCGCCCTGGAGCTGGGGAAGGGACCCCCTCCATCCCGCCACCCCGAGGGCCGTTTTCCTCCCGTCCCTCATCTCTTGGCTCCCGGGGATGTGCCACAGCGCAAGGAATAATCGTAGGCTTTTGAGAGGAGCGGGTGGGTGGGGAGGGGAAAGGGGGGGGAAACAAACCAAATGATTTGATGAATGAAGAGTAGAGTTCATTCTATTTAATTAATGTACAAAATGTGTTTGTATATAATAATAAATATTATATCTAACAGCTGCTGCGGTGCTGCTCCGGTGTCCTGCTCGCAGTTGTGCTGGGTTCCTGCTGGAAGTTGAGGTGTGAGGATGCGCTGGCGGGGGCGCGGGCGCAGCACGTCGCGCGCTCGGTGGAGCCCCGCGTGCCCCGTCGCAGCTCGGAGGGGTGGTGGCAGGGCAGGGGCTGAGCACGCGTCCCCATCGCAGCTCCGCTCCCGCAGCCCCGGCAGGAGTC